TAAAATAAATAAATATATATAAAAATAAATAAATATATATAAATATAAATATAAATATATATAAATATAAAAAAAATAAAATAAATAAATAAATAAATATATATAAATATAAATATATATAAATATATATAAATATATATATATATATATATATATATATATATATATATATATATATATATATATATGTGTGTGTGTATAGGTTGCTTTTATGCTATCGAAAGAATGTGCGGAATGCGTGTAGGCGAAACAGTGCTTGGGCGAAACTAAATTAGCAATTACTGCCGATACTGGTGACCCCATCGCTGTTCCAAAAACCTGCTGATAATAACAGCCCTCAAACACAAAGTATGTGGCGACAAAAAGACAGAAGATCAATAATATCTTCTACAGGCAAGGATGCATGTTCTTTGTAATAAAGTGGCATCCTGTCTTAGTCTTTTTGTCGCAACCTTGATGGCAAGACTGAACTGGGATGTTTGTAAACAAGGAAACGACATCAAATGATACCAACACTTGATCTGCTTTAAGAGTTTTACCTCTTACAAATTCTGCAAAATGACAGAAATTTTTGACAGTGTTTTTGGTATTCCCCACCATAGGGGACAAAATGTTTGCCAAAAAACTTGAAACTCCATATGTATAGGAGAATTCACAAAGGATACAATAGGTCTCAATGGAATATCCGGTTTATGGATTTTCGGTAAACCATAGAAACGCGGAGATAGTCCATCACTGCTGTATAACTTTTCATATGTAGCCTTGCTGATAATATTAGATTCCTTCAAAAGAAGTAACTTGGCCTTTAAACCTCTTTGAGTCTTTCCAGTAGGATCAGACTTGAGAATAGAATACGTATTTCTGTTATTCAACAGTGAAAGAGCCTTCTCGCGATAATCATGTTTGTCCATATCAACAACACAATTGCCTTTGTCTGCTGAACGAATAACTCTGTCCGGATCTTTTTTAAGAGCAAGTAAAGCTTTGAAAACATTCGAATCAATGTTTTTTGGAGGTATTTTGGCACGTCTAAGAATGCCACTGACCTCAGCTCTTATAAACCAATCACTTAGCATCATCCTCTAGTGGAAAAATTCCTTCTTCAACTGAAGCATTACCACAAACAATCGCTATGGTCAAAGACTTTGCCTAGAAGCGTGGCATATAAATATGAGTAATCATGCTTTGAATAGCGATGATGGTGCCTATTTGCCAGAGTAATATATGCATCTATTGGCAGGTGACGTCATCCCTTGGGTATTTAAGAAGCCACGATTGCAATTTTAGATCACCCCTGATGAAGACACTACACTGGAGTGTCGAAATGTTGGGTCTTCATTACAATTCGACTGGGCTTTGTAATAATTTATTTAAACCTGAGTAGCGAGCGAAACATGATTGATATACCTGATTGCAGTGAACGAACAAACTTTAAAATGAAGTCCTTGGACTGGATCAAAATTAATTCACCTCACTTTAAATAAGTAGTGATTTATTCGAATGAATGTCATTTCAAATCCTCCAATTCGGATTGGACTAGATTTCAAGTCCTCACATTTTGATCCAGTCCTCGGCTTCTCCTCGTGCTTGATCAAATTGCCCGGACTTGAAATCTAGTCCAGTCCTCATAGTCGGTTTTGAAATATTACATACTAAATCTGTGATGTCCAAAATTATCAATGCCGATGGAATGCTCGAGGTATACCGGGAATTAGACTGATTTTATATTGTGTGCTAACAATGCAGTTACGCCCATTTTCAAAATTACGCGACCTATCCGTACAAAAAGTGTCTGTTTTATATCGCGTGAACTGCTAAAAATAGAAAACGTAGCCAAAAAAACATTTTAAAAACAATATTTAATACCAAAAGAAAGATATTGAACTAAAATGAGTTAGATATAGAAACTAAAAGAAACAACAAACCCTCACAACGGAAATCTGTGTCGTGCATGAATGACTTGTAAAGTTTGAGAAAGAACAATTTCATTTAAATTAAGATTTCATCATTTATAAGATTTAGATTTTTTAAAAGTCTTAATAATTAATTTTCAAAATTGTAGTAACAACTGAATTGTTTTGAAATTACATAGACTGATAGTACAAGAATAAATTATTTGATATATGCTATTCCGAGGCTTGTTAAAGATTGCAGCTTCGTAACCCAGTTGGGCGTCACGAAACAATTTTTCAGACGCGTCTTCAATTGAACGCTGCGTTGTTATACAGGGTGTATAAAAAAAACTGAACAGATTTGAGATTGCTCTCAATTTCGCAAAATACCTATTTGTATCCGGTTTTTTATATATATAGCTTCTTTGGGAACTTATAATGTAAAATAATGAAAAAAATTTCTCGAACTCAAATTTTGTGAATCAGGGGGTGTATCTTTTCCAAGAAACTAAAAATGGCTCGCGCACAAAATTTAAAGGTTTAAATAATATTTTGAGTTAATAGACGGAAAATTTGTTGGGTTTTTAATAAATGTACAAAATGTCATACAATTTGGTTTAGTTTAATTCCTTTAACTATTCATTTTATTCTAAAAAATCAGCCTTTCGCATGCTTAATATTAGCCTTTACCTAATTTGCATATTGCTGACATATGCAAATTAGGAAAATGCATAATTAAGCATGCAAATAGCTGATATTTAGGAAAAATGTAACTTTGCGTGAATAGTTAAAGGGCTTAAACTAAACCAAATTGTCTGAAATTTTGTACAGTAATTAAAACCCCGATTATTAACTTAAAATATGATTACAACTTTTAAATTTTGTGCACGAGCCATTTTTGGTTTGTTGGAAAAGACACCCCCCCCCCCCCC